AGATCACATAAAGCTTTACTAAAGAAAATGTTCCCTATTGTGCAAGGCACTGTAAAGCTGCCGGGAACCTTCAGCTTTCGAGGAATCTTGCGTTGGAGAATTGCACTACACTTTTCGGTCAAATTCACCGTCTCATGCTCCTCAACTCGCCTCTTCTTGGACATCACATCTTTCAAGAATTTCGCATAATTTGGCATTTGCTCCAAAGCCTCTGCAAAAGGAATATTTATATGAATTTTCTTAAGGATATCCAAAAATTTAGCAAATTGAGCATCTAATTTCTTCTTTTGAAATCGTTGGGGAAAAGGCAAAATAATAGAAGGTTTATGAGAATCAGAGTTAGAAGCAGATTTAAGCTTCTCAGCCCCTTTGTTCGATATGGCACTCGGTTCTTTCTCCAATTCATCACAAACTTCCTCTTCCTTTTCGCTTAGGTCTAAGCTCTCCTTCCCCATTGGCTCACTCTTCTTCTCTTCCGGCATCTTCGGGCCTTTGTACTCCATTCCACTCCGTAGGCGGATAACTTGACATTGCTCCTTAGGATTCAACTCCGTATTGCTAGGGAATTGACCCCTTTGGTGCTGAATCCCTACGACCTTGGCCAGTTGGCCAATTCGCGTCTTCAAATTCTTCATTTGAGCCCCCATTGTCGTAGCCAGTTGAGTCACATGATTCTCAATCTTGTCTAACTTCTCTTCATCTTTATTAAAACGATTTCTCGTTTCATTCATGAAAGTGGCCATGATATTTTCCATGTCCGTCTTCTTCTCTTCGACAATCTCGCCATTCACCACCTTGAACCCAGGTGGTGGTTGGAGCACATTCTTCGTATTTCCATAGAAAAAATTTTCATGATTCCTATTATTCGGGTGATAGAAACCCGGCACCGGATTGGAGCGATAATTGCTGAAGTTCCGATTATTGATATAATTATCCTCTGCTAAGGGATCCGGTGGTAACACGTTGCCTTGTCCTCCACTCATCTCATCAGCTTCTTTTGTCAAAGCATTCAATTTCGTCGTCAATGACGACATTTGAGCCGCTAACTCCTTAACTGGATCAGAAGACGTCACCTCCGCCACCCGTCTAATGCTCGACCTTTCGGAAGGCAACTGATAACTATTCACGGCCATCTCTTCCAATAAATTGGACGCTTCCTCTGGTGTTTTAGCCAATAAAGCTCCTCCAGCAGCCGCATATACGAAGGCTCTCGTTTTCCCCAACAACCCGTTATAGAAGAAACAAAGTTGTTGATCATCTGGAAAACCATGTCGAGAGCATCTTCGCAACAACTCTCTAAATTGATTCCACGCCTCGTATAAAGGCTCCGAGTCTTTCTGCTTGAATTGAGTAATCTCGCTTTTGAGTTGCATCGACTTGCTTGGAGGAAAATATTTAAGCAAGAACTTCTGGTTCAACTCCTCCCAAGTCTTAGTGCTCTCATTAGAAATCATCGACAACCAACTCCAAGCTTTATCCCTTAGAGAGAAGGGAAATAGACGCAGTCGTATAGCATCCTCAGAAACACCATTGTACTTGACCAAATCACAAATTTGCAAAAACTGGGTCAAGTGTTGATTTGGATCCTCGGTTGGGTGTCCACCAAATTGGTTGTTCTGCACCATCGAGATATAGGAAGGCTTCAACTCGAAATTATTTGCATTGACGGGTATATGGGCAATCCCGCCAAAATTGTTATCAAATTCAAGCTGAAAGTGGTCACGAATCGCTTGCTTCTGTTGTTCTTGCTCTGCCATTGTGCACTTTGAATTTCCCCTTCTTTTCCTAGTTGTTGCACTATTGCGTCTAGCGAATGCTTCAACTTCGTCAATCAAGGGTTGTAGTGGTGCACTTTTAGAACGAGTTAACATGCACATCCTGAAATAAAAAATAAGAGAGATTATGTCACTAAGAAAAAAAAATATCTAAATTAAAATTTTCACTACCTATCCTAATATTGATATAAATAACTATATTGGTCCCCGGCAACGGCGCCAAAAACTTGTTCGCCTATATTTTTAAAGCTCGACCGCAAGTGTACGGATTTGCTCGTAGTATGTGGCAAGCAAGGTCGTATCCCAAGAGACCAAATAATTAATATATCAAGTACTAGATTATGATAATATCAACTTTATTTAGACGATCGTAATTGGATGGATTAGCTAAACTAAGAAAATAAATCAAAGAGAATAAAGCAAAAATAAAGAACTAGCTAGAAAAACACGTGAGAAAATGTATGGGAACGATAGATTCTAAGACGTTGGGTTCAATTAATAGTTAGGATACCTTCAAAGATATCACAATTAAATGTTTTCTTTATCTACCCTATAAGACGATCACAAATTTAGCTTATCGTCCCTCTCGAGATCAATAAAACTATAAGACGATCACAAATTTAGCTTATCGTCCCTCTCGAGATCAATAAAACCGTAGATTAAATCACATATATTAGCGTCTCCACTCAACACATGCAATTCAACTCCAAATAGAACAAAAGATCTAATATCCTCACAACGACATACTAATCTCTCGATTCAAGCAAGTAAATTGTGTCAAATATTAAAGACTTAATATTGAACTCATCTCTCGAATAATGAACAATATTGTCAAACATGTAAAAGAATTAATCAAGTTCTAAACATGGAATAAGAACAAAATGTTTGAATAGGGTTCAAAAGAAAAACAATTAATTATAAATAAATCATCCAAAATCCCAACATATTAATCTACTACCAAGTCTTAGAATCAATAAATCTAGCTACTCATGTTCGAATTCAAACACATAGACATATTAGAAATCGACATGATCAATAAAAGTTCAAGAGGAAAGAAGAAATAAAAACTAGGAATCTCATCGATCTTTCAATCTCCTTGATCCCTTCGTAGTTGATCCTCTTTTTGCTCCTCAATTTCTTCTCTTGTGTATTCTAAGGATCTTCTCCTTGCGTATTCACGTTCTAGGGCTCAAAATAAGGTAAATATGCCTTTTTTATATGTCAAAAAATCCTCTCCTTATCCCAAAAGGCAACAATTAAAAATCAGCATCCGCACGCGACACGGCCAGACTGCCCGTGTCGCTGGCCGTGTCGCAGCCCGTGTCGTCTCAACAGCCTCGAAATCCTCCTAGTCACGTGACACGGCCTCTGACACAAGCAAGGTGCCCGTGTCACTGTCCGTGTCACACCCCAGCATGTACGATTTTGTCCGTGTTGCTCGCTTCTTCCATTTTTCTCATCTGTGCATCAATCCTTCATCATCCCGGGGGTCCTAGGTACTCCACGTGCGCCTCCAATAGCCACAAGCTCTACAAATATGTGAAAATATCTACAAAACAAGCACGTGTAATACCTTTCCAACAAGTAGAGAATTAAAGCACAAATATGCAATTTATACACCAATAACGCGATGAATAAGCTCTAAATCCTATATAAATATGGTGTAAAATCACACATGAACAGTTTCCGAACTAACAATCGACCACCTCTTACCAATGAGAGAGTACACTTCTTCAAGAGTTGATTCAAGGTTCATAGAGATCACATACATTTCATCCTTGTATGTACAACTTCCTAATATATCACTTTGTGCCTCTTCCATGTATCTAACAATAATTGGATTAAAAAAAACCAAGTTCACATTTCCCAACAAATATGGTACCAACAATGAGCAAAGTGGTACTATATATCCAACAGAGATACACACAATCATTAGAGTGGTACTATCATTATTCTCATCTTATTTTTTTGTTTTATGGTCAATAACACCTAACATAACCTAATAGTAACATAAATTTAGTATATATGAACAAAAAAAGGATTATGATCACTTTATTTATTTTAGGGTAAAGATAAACAACAATCTGCAATATTCAATCCTTCACAAATCAAACAAAAATATATGAATTAAAGATGATTTTTGGACTCCAAACTTTTCATGTAATACATACATTACTTACTACTTCAAGTTTTCGCCGGAAAAAGTCACAATCTTACCGAAAAATAAGAATTTTCGAACAGAGAGATAAGAATTTTTGGCCAGAGAAACAGGGATTTTCAGCCAGAAAAAGCCCTAATGTCGCTGGATTTGTTGCCTTCGGAAAAAGCCCCAGGGTCCGGTTTGTATTCGACGGCGAGATGAAGCTGCGAAAAAAAAAAAAAGAAAAAAGAAAATTCATGCTGGCGCTAAAGAAGAAAAAAGCAGGATAGAAGAAGTAAGGGGGAAAAAGAGTGAGGAAGAAGTATTTTAGGTAGCAAAAATAATTTAATAATGCAGATAGTGAGATCCTGTCATATATAAATTTCTTTGTCATTTTTTTTTTTAATAGGAGAGATTTAAATGGAAGATGATTAAGGGGTAGGTAGTTTAAAGGAAAGAAAATATGGGGAGTGATGACTTGGAACTTGGAAAGGGAGTTAGGGATTTTTATCTGTAAACTCCCATTATTAAACTTCAAAATCTGTTATATTAATATTAAAATTTTCTGTAAAATTATTTTGATTACTTCATTTATTACTTACTATTTTTATCTACCTATTTATAAGATCTCTAAAATTTTTGTTAAAAGTATAATATTTTAGACTATAAACTAGAAATAAAATATTTATCGAGTACTTAGATGTGGATAAGAAATTGCAAAAAAATAAAAGAAACATTGCAATATAAAAATTATTGAGTATTTAGATGTGGATAAAAAGCTGCAATAATAGAAAAATTGCAATATAAGGTGTACTCTCAAGTTGTCAAAGCACCTTCGTTAATGTGAATTTTAAAATTGTTATTAACGATAAATATATGATATGTTGAGATGTTAATTAATAAATGAATTGCAATCAAATTTAATATTAACGATAAATATAATAAATTTGTTAATAATAAATAAACTGAGAGTTTCAGACAGAATAGATATACAAATTTGAATAGGAATAGGCACATTAACAGATCCACATATAGTCATATTAAAAGAGGAGTTTCTTATCAGAAAACTGAGTACCTCCGTAGCAATGGAAGACAGAATATCCGAATTGCCAATACCAATACTTCACCACATTCTCTGTTTCCTCTCCCAGAAAGAAGCCGTCAAAACTTGTGTACTCTCCAAACAATGGCGCCACATAGGATCAACCCGCCCCAACCTCGAATTCTTCGAAGAATGGTTCAACTGTTCCATAATTCAGCATGCTCTCTCTCTACTCTCCAGACTATGGTCCAACCTCGACAGTACACAACAAAACTTTGATTCCATAGTCGACCGAACCCTACAAGGATATCTTGATCAAAACCTCTCCATACACCAACTCCATCTCCACTTATCCACTCCTGTCTCAGAACCGGTCATCTCCCTTATTAACAATTGGATCCCGATGATACCCGACCTCAACATAAAAGTGTTCAAACTCATCTTTCTTTCACCAACTTTCGATCTTTCACTAACTCCGCCGTATTACGAGTCCCTCGAAGAACTACACCTGCGCAATTGTAAGCTGAGCCTGGTTGAGAGCGTGCGGTTCGATCGTCTGTGCATACTCACCCTCGAACACGTCCAAGTTGATGACGGGACTTTTGAGACGATAATGTTGGGCTGCCCTTCGCTCATGTGCTTGGTCCTTTATTTTTGTGGGGGGTTGAGAAACGTTAGGCTGAGATCGCATGGGCTCAAGCACTTTGAATTGTTGGATTCCAAGAGGATCGAAGGGCGTAGCATCGAAATCAATGCCCCGAGTATCGAGACAGTTTTTATAAGCGCCCCATGGATTTGGCGTCACCGCCAAAGCGCATTAATGTTCTCTCGTCTCAGGACATTGAGTCTCTATAGTGTGATCCTATCGAGCAAGACGTTCGATCTGTTATCGTGCTGCCTTACTCTTGAGTTCTTGATCCTACATAATTGCTCTGGTTTCGATGAATTCCATCTTGCAAGTGATTCGGTCATCTTCTTGAGCATCTGGACCACAAAAATATTGCTAAAAGGAGTTACGATTTGTGCCCCCAACATTGTCCATTTTGAATTCACTGCCCATATTTCCCAGGCGCCGGACACATTCTCTTTCACGACCACTACTTCCAAGGAGTGGTCCTCAAAAGTATTCTTCTATTCACATAAGGATGATCCCGATTTAGACCTCAATTCATGGTTCCTTAAGCTGAGACGAGTGCTAAAGGCACTAAGTGGGTCTTGGATTTCTCTGTTTTTGCAGATGGACTGCGGGCCTCTGGACGTGCCATGTAGTGCTGTTCAAGGTGACGAGCAACCTGTGGTGGTGTGGGAGTTGATTTTTGCTACTCGTAAAAGTCCCACGACGTCTTGGTACAACGGGTTTACGAATGGCTTGTTTCGTATTTGTCGACCGAGTCTTGTAAGTTGTTGTAGGTTCGTGAGCGAGTCGGACAAGAGCTACAGGCTGTCGGAGTTTCAGTTCAACATCTTGCTTGCAATGAAGAGCCTCAGGACCGAACCTTGCTTTTGGCAGCACGATTTGGAGCAAGTGTTTGTGGAATGTCTTGACGGGCGACAACGGCAACTCATGCAATGGACGACGCTGGGGGAGTTGCGAAACCGGGCACAAGACGAGAATATTCGCCTTGGACTGAAATGGATATGTGATCAGAATGTATAAGGACGCACGTAGCTCGGTTGCTTTTATTGAAACTTCAAATATCCGGTTTTCTTTTCCTCAATTAACCAAGGCATTGGTCTTGACATCATTGCTTTGAAAACTTTGCAGGTCTTGATGAGGACTTGAATTCGTAATTTGAGTTTTTTTTTTTTTTATTTTTTTTTTTACAGTAATAAAGTAAATATATTTTTATATAAGGTAAATTGCATTTGATACGGAAGTAAATACCTTGAATCAGTACCCATTTTAAAATAATTGTGAAATCAGTACCCAAACTTTCATTATATTCGCAACGTTAATACCCGGCCAAAAAACAAATAAATTTTATTCCATTTTGACCACTTCCGTTAACAACTAACGGGAATTTGACGAAGATCTAACGGCCAGGAACTAACGTTGCTAACAGAATAAAAATTTGGGTATTGATTTTGCAAATGTTTCAAAATGGGGTACGGATTTCAAAATGACTTTTACTTTGGTATCAAAACTTCAATTTACCCTTTTATTTATTTATTTATAATAACCATTACTAACTAATCATAAAGTCATATTAAATGATATTCTATTATAAAACTTCTTTAAACTATTTATTTAAACTATTAAGTTATTTAATTTATTTTTTATGGCATAACCAAGCCCCTTAAAATTTCATACACAATTACTATTATAATAATTTTATTATTATTTTATCTAATTATAAATTGGCCACAATCAACAAAAGATTGTAAAATGATATTATTGCGATCAATATAAATATTAAGATATATAAAATGTGATATGCTTGTTATCTAACTTATGATTTTAACTATTACATACTCATACATATATAACGTATAAAAATTTATTTACATCAGTGCATGTGCACATGATTGATTACTAGTTATTCATAATTTCTGGTCAATATTAATTTGGACATAAATAGAATATTCAATTATTTATAGTTTAATAAATTACTCAACCAGTTCTGTTGTTATGCGATTTTTAACAACGATGTAATGTGTGATTAAGTGGATAATTTTGAATGATTTGGACGTAAAGCATGTAGGATTAAATCAGCAATGGCCTCGGTCCGGGGTGAACCGAGGTGAAGAGCCGTGATGGGCTTTTACGTGTTGCTTAGTAACGTTTTTTCAGTTCGGAGAGAGATCTCCCTACAAATGTCATGGGTCCGCTATTTATAGTATTTTCGGGTTGGTACATTGGGATCTGTGCATTACTTTTTCGAATAAAGTGACTTTTTGTGGGCGGTTTGAAGCAAGGGGTCCCACATAAATGATGACGGATCTTGTGGAGCAGGAGGGTTGTTCGTAGGCACCTTGTCACCTGCTTAAGGAGGTGACGATCTCGGTTCATGTTGACCTCGGTAGATGTTGACCGCTTCGGTCTTCGGTAGTTCGGTCCGGTTTGTCGCCTGAACCGGGGTGGTGTTTGAAATTACATCGGTTCAATGATCATCTTCCGTTTAATGTGTCGTTTGGAATCTCTTAATGCAGGTTTACCGATCCGGATGATAACAGAGAGGCCCCCAACATCGATGGGCATACGGAGTGATGGTCGTTGATGTTGCTATGCCAGACATTTAGAGACCCTGGATCGGTAAGAAGTCGGCGGTAGGACGTGGTCTATGATCTTCGGAGGGTCGTCTTCGGTCTTCCGAGTCCGATGTAACCGAAGTGAGTCATCTGTCCGAAGTGTAGACTGTATTCCGAGGGGAAGACACTTGGTGAATTTTGGATAATCTTCAAGCAGTCGTGACAGAAAAGGTGAACAGTCGTAACGGTCAACGATTAAATGTTTGGACCGAACGGTCGCGCCGTAATGGTCTTAAATGAGGTAACGGTCGACTTTAATAGGTAGCCACGTGTAATAATAGGTGTCTTATCAGGTGAAGAGGTGGCGTCGGTTAGAATTAGGGGTCGCGTCGGTTCGACGCGCCCCCAATGAAGATACTCAACGGTCACAAATCGACGATTATAAATAGGGTTTAGCGATATCTGATCGGGTTTTCTTCACCTTTGCTTTTACCCTCGAGCTTTTATATTATACTTGTTGTTTGAATTCATCTGAAATTCTGAGGAATCTTTCCTGCTTGCTGTGTGCGTGCGACGTTTTCGGTAAGCTTTTTTCTTCAATTTCTTTTGTCATTTCTTTTGTGTTCTGTTCGATCGTGCGATGGCGCCGAAAGGGAAGGGAAAGGCGGTGGCAAGTTCATCAAGTACCGAGTCGGTTCCGTTGGATGTTTACCACGATTCGGAATTGGTTGAGTTGGCCTTTGAATACCACCGGTGGGACCCGTCGTTGGTAAGGCATCTAAATATCCAGTTAAACGATGAGGACGGTGACTTGGTGGTGGAACACAATGCAACCGACCTCGCGGTGCCTTATTGGAGAAGACCGGTGAGGAAGTGGCCCGATCCGGCGATTGATTTCATTGGCGAGCCCAGTATTCTTACCGACGCTGATGTCGTAATGTTGAGAGAACAGGTTCGAATTCCCCCCTCGGTAAAAATCTTTGCTCCTTATCCCTGGAAGAGAATAACAAGTCCACCTCCGGGTTGCGTGGGCGTATTTGCGGAGAGTTTGAGGTCGGGATTAAGGTTCCCGTTGCCAAACTTGATCACGGAGTACCTCCGAAGTTGGGGGTTACCGTTGTGCCAGATTACGCCGAATAGCTGGAAAAAGATAATCGGGTTGATGGTGTTGCTGCACGAGAGGGGTGAGGGACTTCCTTCGTGCGATGAGATGAGGAGCATTTTCGCGTTTAAATAAAGTCCGAAGAGGAGGGTGGCCGAGTCTTCTTGTTGCTTTTTTGCCGGGGCGAAACCGCAACACGGTGTTAAAGTCGGGGAAATAGTGACTGAGATTCCGGAAAGTCTCCACGGTTTCCAGGAAGAGTGGTTGTGGATCGGTGGAGAGTGGCAATCAGTGGACTTCTTTCATGAACGCCGAATTGATAGGATGACAATTCCCATGTTAATTCATTCCGGAGCCAGTGAGTTAATTTTATTTGTTTTTCAACTCGGATATACTTTTCTGATTTTGGTATTGTTCTGTGTACTAACAGGTCGGAACTTTTACTCTGTTGTAGAAAAAGAGACGAAGCAAAAAGAACCGAAGTTAAGTCCGGAATTCGGTGGGAAGTTGATAACTTTGGCTGGTTTGGATAAAGCGGACAGGGATTATCGCAAGCTCTTAGTAGACTCAAAACTTGAAGCGGCTGGTCTGTCTCTGGGAGTTACCACATCGAAATTTGACCCCGGTAAGAGAATTTTAGCCAGTAAAGATGTTGTCGAATTTTTCGTATATATGGTACAACTGTTTGTAATTTATTGATCCCTTTGTCGGTATGCAGTGTATTATCCTCTCCTCGGTTTTCTGGGCTATAACTCTGTCAAGGAAGCCAAGGAGTTTAGGCGCAAATTTCCGAACAGAGATCTTCAATCCAAAGTTGGTAAGAGCCGCGATTTGAGATTAAACGACGCTATGAGGAGGGATCTTGTTCGCGCGTTGGTGAAAAAGATAGCTGGTCAAAAGAATGCTGGGAAGAAGTCGATCGAGGTGGGGTCAAGTGCCACTTCGGCTGCCATGCCGAAAGTCCGAAGTCCGTGCCCGAGGTGATGACTACCGAAGTGTTGTCGGTAGTGGAGGCTGTGGCGATTAACCAAGCTGATCCGGAGCCAATCATAGCTGGGACCGAGATGATTACCACTGAGGTTGCTCATACCGAGGTGCCACCAGTTTCCCCGAAGTCGCTTGAGTTGGAGCAACCAGAGAAGAAGAAGAAGAGGAAATTGGTGAAGATGGCGGACGTCGGTGCTTCGTCCGGGGTAGAGAAAAGGTCTAAGAAAAAGCACGACTCCGGTCGCAAGGCGGCTGAGAAAGGTACGGATGATTCTCCTTTGTTTGAGAAGTCTTTTTTATCAATTGATGAGGAACGGGCTGCCAGAGTTAAGGTGCCTGAGGGTGTTGTGGAGGATTGGTTTACCACTTTTTTGTCGGTGAAGTCCCCACATATGTTATCAAGGATCGAAATGCCAGATAATGCGAGAGATGCTGCCCGGGTTCCGTTGATGGTTTGGGACCCCAAGTCCGAAGTGGGGGTCTCTTCTTTATCCAGTGTTGACAAGCTGAGCTACGCCAAGGCATGCGTTGGCAGGGCCTTGGTTAGTTTAGTGGCGGCCGAGGATGATCATCGCCGGGTCGCATCTCAGTTGGAAGGGAAAAAGGACGTTTTAGCCGCGCGCGACATGGTGATCGTCCAATTGAAGGAAGAATCGGCTAAAATGGAGGCCGACTTGAAGGGCCGAATTGCCGAGAAGGTTGCCGAGTTGGAGAAGGCGAAAGCTGAGACTGTGACATTGTCGGATGAAAAGAAGGCCTATGAGGCCGAAGTGGCGGATCTCAAGGCACGCTTGGCCGTGGTGGAGCAGCACTTCAAAACTTCCGAGGCCAAACTGATAGAAACCGAGAAGGCCTTGTCGGAGGAAAAGGCCAATCACGATGCAGCTCGGAAAGAATGTGATGAAACTCGCGAACTGGTTGGTCGGCAAAGGGATGCTCATCAGGCCGAGTTGGCCAAACTTGAGAGGGAGAAATCATCTTATGGCGAGTTTATGTACGAGAACGGTTTTCAGGCCGGAAAGGATTCGGCCGTTGTTGAACCAAAGTCTGGGGACGATGCCGAGATGGAAGTTGCTGAGGTCGGTGAAGATGATGAAGCCGGCGGTCCTGACCTCGAGATTGAAATGAACACTTGCTTGAATTTGAGGTGGATTATTGAACGCTACGACGCCGGCTATTACGATATCGATGACCTTCGCTTGTTCCTCTTCCACAAATTGGAGAAGTACGGATTTGACTCGGAGATTAAGGGGATGCACGTGGCGGCTGATGAAGACGAACGGGAATTCTGCGTGTGGATGCTTCGCCGTTCAGAAGAAATAAATGCGAACCCAGATTTGCCACCACTCTCCGGGGATAGGGCTGCTCTTCTCCGACGT